TGCATTGACATCAATAGATATGCTATTACCAAAGATACAGCCAAATTGGAGCAAAAACAGACAGAATTTCATTTTGAGATAGGATTGAAATTCCATTTGAATGCATTGATGAAAATAGAACAGATCTTTTCAAAAAAATTGCTCCCACTTACACTCTAACCCATTGTATCCCCTCTGATTCCAGGACAAAACATAGTAAATGTGAACTGATGCAAAAGAAATTTTTGCAATACCTTTTCAGTTTTTGAAATAAGCATCTACATTACTTCTCCTTCCCTTATCCACTTGGCTCATTTACAAAAATAAAATTTCCAATCATACCTTGGTCGAAAATGGGAAGTATAAACAACTCTAATCATGGTTATTGTTTCAATTGAATACTTGAGTCTTTTAATTCTGAATCAATGCTTAAACTTGGTTTCTTCCTCAGAGCTTACCCAAAATTTGCTTCAAAGAAATCAAAAGCTGACAATGTGCACATTTTATAGTAACTTTGCATAAATTGCTACTTTGTTTTTTTTGTAGTTATAAGACAAGCTACATTTGGAGTAACCCACATCTTGGCTGCTTCCAGTTTGGTATATGTTTTCTTGAAGGTAAATTTTTCAGGCCCCATTTTTACAGCCCATTATATTTCATAAATCATTGAATTTATAATGTGTGACACCCGGGGGCTCTGAACCTTTGGCACAGGCAGGGGTTGATTTATAACCCAGAGGCCAATTTATGAAGTATAACAGGATGTCCAAACAGGCCTCAATTATTGGGGACCAGAATTTTTGAGTACACACCTTATGATGTTTCTTTGGTACAAATGCATAAAAACAATACCAAGAGGCAAGCATCAATACAACGGAGCTATACAAAAAAATTAAAAAAGAGCTATGATATTATTGCAAACACTTACAGACACAGCTCCTATACATAAAATTGATTGTGTGGTTTGCTATGCTGGAATAAATCAGATTTTGAAAGAAATATCTGAGTATGCAAATTGGAAAAAATACACAACACATCAAAATAATCTTACATCCAAAAGTAGAACTTGGATCAAAACCAGGGTGCTGCATTTGACTATACCACTTGTTCATTAATAGTGTTACTGGATAATCAGTGGACTGTTAGTAGAGCTACAATTTTTACGCTGTTTCATTAAAGCTTTGGCACAAGAAAATATCTACATAGGGACTTGGAAATTTTTACTAAACCTCAAAATTAGTTAAAATTTGTGAAAATTCATGCATTGGATGGACAACTGAGATCTAGGAGGAAATGCCACTTGCCACTGACCAGAATTAATATTCTGATTGTTTGGTCTATTTTATTACTATGCAATGTTAATATTTATACAAGGTTCTCAATTATCTTCAAACTTCAAAGGCCTTGATCATGAAAGAATCCAATGCTGCTTCAAATTACTCTTCACATATTACACTGATCATTTTGAGGCCATCTCTATCATTTTTCTGCTAATTGACCTGATTTTTATCACCAAATATGTGAATGAATAGACTAAAAGTTTGTATTTCATAAGCACCAGCTAAGAAATACAAAGTAGAAAGAAGAAAAGAAAGAAAGAAGATAGTCACCTAAAAGCAGTAGATGGCTAAATAAATAGGAAAACAATATATCTTGATATGACAATGAGAGAAAGATAGAAGAGAAATTTAAAAAAAGAAAGTGGATCAATATCAGGACATTAGTGAGAAAAAAGACCGACGAGTACCTACAATGATTGAGGACAGTAGAAGAGGAGAAGTGGTTGGCGGAGTTGTCAAATGGAAGGGATTGATTTGATACAGAGATCAAAGAGGACGAATGACAAGGGTAGGAGGTAGTCGTTTGATACAAGGATCAAAGAGATGATTGATGATGAGAGTCGAGTGATTTTTGTCTTCTAAGAGAATAGGACAAGTGATGATTTGGAATAAGAATGACACAGTCAATTAAGAAGTTTGACTGTGGAGGAATGTGAATCGGAAGGAGTCCTAGGGAGAAGAATAGTCGAAGAAAGAGAAGGGATGATAAAGGAAAATAGGAATGTACAATAGCAATGTCGGAGAAGAGTGAGAGGGTTCAAGCGCAATGATGCCATTGCAGGAGCTTGATGAATTTCAGAGTTCAGGCCCAATGATGTCAGGAAAATTTTGATCTTGGGTAATCAGGTGGTCTAGAGCCTTTAGAGAATTTGTGAGCTGAAGCTTAGACCTCAACAAAATAATCTTTAAAGTAACACAATTAATCCAATCCTGTTCTCCCTTTTCCCCCCTCTGACCCTAAAAATGGGGGCTATGCCCTCGTCAAATATAACCACATCCACCATTATTTAATTGACTGCTTCAAAAAATCCACCATTGTTTAAACATGTTGGTTCTTAATTTGACCCCTTTTGGGGCCCATTGATACAAACATTTATTTTTGACAAAGTAATTGGTTTCTAATGGTGGATTCCTTATATTTGATGCCCCCTAATAAGCTTTTTGATTCCTGAACCCAGCTTAAGCTTTCATTATTTAGGACATTCTGAGCTAACTCATTGAGATAATGATCATGACCCCGTCATTTTTGGAATTAAGTTCATTTTTTCCATGTGTCCTGGGGAACATAGCTATATTTTCAATCTCTGCACATTGTAATCTTGGGGTGTTTTTTTTACTGCAGGTCCTTGAACAAAACATAACCTCACTCCAATCTTCAAGATTTGTAGATTTTTGGAGCTTTGATCCTTTTCAGCTGGCAATTTACCCCTTCTCAATCTATTAGCCTCATTCTGATATCATCAAAGGGGGGTTGCAATAGTAATCTGCTAGAAAAATTTTCAAGATTGCAAGAAATTGTTTAACACTTTCTGCCTCAAGTGGATTACACCTTGCCTAACAGAGGTGCTGAATTTTCACAACCAACACTGAGCACTGAGAAGGGGGAGAAGCAATTGGGAAAAACAAACTCAGAACCCCCCCCCCCCCTTTAATGTGTATGTTGCTCAAAAGTGGATTTTCTCTCACTTACACCAGTGGTGCACTAAAAGTTCTTGGAGTAATTTCAAAAACCTTTTTGGTCAAGAAGTGGGGTTTGGGAATATTTCTGGTTGTAAAATGGTTTTGGGACCTCATCCCAAACATTTTTGGTTGTAATCTGGTTATGGGCTGGTTTGAGAACAATTTTTGTTTAAACATCAAACATCAAACATTTTGGGAACCACTTGAAGTGGTTCCCACAATATTTTTCAAACTATTTCGAGGATATTCCACTGTCTTCCTTTCCAAAGCAGTTCAGTAAATGATATTTGGAAATTTTATAGATTTTTTTTTGCTTCTGTGGTATAAGTGCTGGTGATCACAAGTGAAGTAGTGTATTTCAGGATTTGAAGTATGTGACTGGCCCCAGCTGTTGTGCCTTCACAACCCTTACTCAGTTTGAGACCCCGAAAATTGGGGGATAAACCCTTATATACGTTACTCATCCAGCCAGTCACTAACTCATTGGCCTCCCATCTTCCACAGCTGACTTTCCTCCGCATATGTACCCACCCACTCAACTTTCACTCACATCACTCACTGCCACAAGCATTCTGACTGTATGGAATCATTATCATTATTACACCAAAAAGGAGGGTGTATAATGGGGACAGATAAGTTTTAAAGTGTGGAAAAGAAGCTGGCCTGTTAAGTGCTGGAACATCCGAAAGGCTTTGATTGCGGTTCAAAGATTAGGGGCATGCAGATTCAGGTATAATCGGAGCCTCACCTGCCACGAAAATTTGGAGAAGACCGGCTTGAAAAGACTGAGGTGTGGATTGGTTTCAGCTCCAAGTCTTTCCGAACATGCCAGTCCTCGAGGGGCCTGATTTATGACAGTGGAAGTAAGTCCCTAAAACACAACTTACCCGCAACATGATCATGCTGATGAGCTGTAATCTACTGTAATCAGCTAAACCATAAACCCATCCTGCAAATTAATCTTTGAGATAGGCTACATCCAACTGCGCCACTGCGAGGAGATCGTTGGCAATGACGTCATTTACCCAGCAGCTGTACGATGTGGGAGGATGTGGGCCTGTTGGATTCGTTTAGATCGGGCAAAAAGCTTTTGCACCCTTGACATTTGGATGACTATGATTTGCTGTTTCTGTTTCAAACCTCGAGCGCGCAACAGAAAGTGTCAGAATGGAATACAAGCCGATCCAGCGGTGAGCAGTCGTCTGTCCCACATGTCAGCACCGAGTCCAAAGTTAAGCACTGTCCCGATGGCAAGGATTATGTATTTACCAGACCGAATAAACACTTGAGACCGTGTCCGCGAAATCGCGGATGATGGAAAAGGTGCTTCAGGCATTTCCGACTGTACAAGACCAAATCTAAACGCGCACCGGGAAAAAATTGGTTGATCAAGCTCATTCGTGTGGAAGCATGTATTGGGGATGGATGGAGGTCCCGCTTTTGCATGTGCTGAGTTGTGTCACATAGACCTAGTCCTTACCCCTATAATCCACACCAAAAAACAGTGACCATCCTCGTCGAAACTATGTAAAACTAGAGCGCTTTCCCATCATGGTCGCTTTTTTTGGCGTTCTAGGAGACCTTGAAACCGTGCCTGGATGAGAAACTGCTGCATCGGAAATGCTTGGATGCGAGTATCTATACATACGCTGGGTACATACAGCCGGGTAAGGCTGTACAGCCGCCTCGATATCGTCACCACTGTCATCTTCTTCCCTTCGGTCCACTTCGGTCCTGGAGCTCCAGAGTTGCAGGATTCCATAGGTTGTTTGTAATTGAGTGCCGATTTACATATTTATTTATTTTTGTACCAGGCTCAAGTGCCGAGAGCACTTTTAATTAATTTATACCCTCCTCGAGATCAACATAAAACCGGTCGCCCTCGCGGATCCTCTTCCTCCCCCCCTCCCTCCTCTTCCCCTCCCGTTGACCAACTAATTACTTTTTGAGTGCAATTTTATTATACATATTATTATAACTTGGCGAGTAAATAAATACACCATGCTTTCTTCCTCAGCCCCTCTCTCTAAACATCCACAGGATATTGGTGCCGGTTCACCTTCGCTTGATAAACACCTCGACAAACAGACCGACAGCTTTCCAAGCACAGAAGACCAGGATGACGTTGAACTTGCCAAGCTTGGGTATAAATCCGAGTGTTAGTTTCTTCTTCTTTTTCTTCTTCTTCTTCTTGTGCAAGCGTTGAGCTCAAGCGCCACTTGACCATGATACGATAACCTGAGTTACTGACCATCGTCGGTTTTTTGCATATTTAGTTGCAAGAGAATTTGGAAATTTCAGCACAATATCTTTCGCGTTCTCGATTATGGGACTGTGTTCTTCGGTCACCAGCACAGTTGAGTTTTTTTTTTGTCATTTTTTTTGGCCCGAAAACTTGAATGCAATTTCCACTCTTCCGGATCAATCACAATGCCTTCCCCGAGTCCCGGGTGATCCCGGCAAGTCAGATAATTTTGATTATCCATGTGGTTTTTATCGTATGTATGCTAACTTGACGGATACTTTTCAATACACAGTTCAACACTCCGATGTTATCTGGAGGTCCGGCTTCGGTGGTTTGGTGCTGGCTACTTGGTTTGTCAACGTTCACCTGTCAAGCCCAGTTGCTTGTCCAAAAAATAAAAAGATAATAATAATGACATTATGCCATGATGGCGGTTTCATTTTTTTATCAGGTTCGGTAATGTGCTTTGGCTTTGGGACGTCGATAGCTGAATTAGTATCAGCCTACGTGAGTCAATCCACTTCATAAAACCGATTTTCCTTGAGATGTCTTTCCTGATTGGTATGTGGGAATTCATCAGCCCACGTCAGGTGGTCTATACTCGGCTTCGGCTTATTTGGTCCCGAGACGCTACCGCCCATTCGTCGGATTCACCGTCGGCTGGCTAAACATACTGGGACAGATTGCTGGCGTGGCATCTACGGAATTCGCCCTCAGTGAAATGATCTGGGCCGCGTACACACTAATGAGGAACGATGACTTCTCACCGTGAGATCACAATTTTATCTCTCTCTTTACTTCCAGGAGAACTGAATCGCAAAAATCATCCTTTTGCTTCTGATCTTTACAAAAGATCAAAGTCCCAAACCGTTGGCTTATATGTCGGTCTTTTGGTCCTGCATGGACTACTTAATTGTCTGGCGACGAAGGCTCTGGCGGGGATCACCAAATCGTTTATATTCATCAATCTGACTGGAACTATGGCTATGATCATTGGCTTGTTGGCCACGACACCTGATAAACACGATGCCAGTTACATTTTCACTAAAGTCACTGATCAAACTGGATGGGGAAATGATGGCCTGGCCTTCCTGTTGGGCTTATTGAGTGTGCAATGGGTAAATATTATTTCGTTTTTTGACGAAGATTTATAGCGCCACTCTGCTCAATCTTAACAATCCTAGACCATGACCGATTATGATGCGACCGCGCACATTTCCGAAGAGGTCAAACGAGCAGCTATCGCGGCACCCGTTGCGATTTTCGTTGCCGTAGCAGGACGGGACTATTCGGCTTCGTTCTCAACATAGTTCTGGTCATGTGTTCTGGAAACATCGATATCAACAACCGTGGCGGCCGTTCTGAAATGATTGTTGCAAATATCCTTTACCGAAACCTTGGCCCGACGTGGTTCGCCGTCGTATGGTCTGTAATCTGTTTGAACAGCTTCTCGGTCGTCTTGACAGCCCTACAAGCCAATTCCCGCACAATCTTCTCCTTCAGTCGGGATGGTGGCCTACCCGATCGTGGTATCTTCAGTCGTCTCTCAGCTCAGAAGGTCCCTGTTTATGCCGTTTGGTCGGTGATCATTGTGTCAATCTTGATGGGTCTTTTGAAATTCGCTTCTACCGTCGCCCTAAATGCTATATTCAGGTATGAACCACCTTCTCTCATCTTGAACAAGATGATTGCAACTCTGACGACTCGAAATTCGCTGAATCAAATTGCTAATTGTATTTTCACATTTTTTTTTTCAATGATACTCTAACCTGGTAGTCTGTGTACAATTGTAAGCGAAAAGATCCAGCACATTTTTCACTGTTTCAATCTGTTCTAACAATCTAGTTGTGATCCTTACCCTGGATAAATCTTACAAACACACAGGCACTCGACTCTTCATACGCCATTCCAATCGCCATGAAATTGATATACATGGACCATCCTGAAGTATGTCACCCAAAGATACATTATACGCATGTGAAATCTCAAGGACTTTTGGTGTCAAATAGCTTGCTGATAATGCTTGTCTTCAGGTTCAATTCAAACCTGGCCCATTCAGCTTAGGAAGAGGGACACCTTTGATGTGGTTTGTCAACTTGCTCTCGTTGGCCTGGGTTTCGTTTGTCGTTGTAATTCTCGCCCTACCAACGGTTGTTCCAGTAACTGCTCTGAACATGAACTATGCGTATGTGTCACATTCTCTCGGCTTGCTTGATTTGTAGCGCTTCGACTGATCCACTTCCTCCTTGACATTGCAGCTCTGTCATCACCTTTATCGTCCTATCACTATCTACCACTTGGTATCTGACTTCTGCTCGCCATTGGTATGTTGGACCCAAATCGAATCTGCATTAATATGGCCACGATGAATGGTCGCGGATGCTTTCAGGGAGAAAGATGAGGACTCTTAACAGCACGAATTATCGATAGGCACAAGCTTTTCTTGCAAGATAAATACATATATATGAAGTGAATACTCTTCAAAACATTACCGCCCCCGCATACCCTCATAACATCTCCTTTTTTACCCAAAGCACTGCATGAACTCTCACATTCTTACACCTCGCATGTCTAACAGAACACAGTTCAGCAATATAGCTATATTCTCTCATCTTAGTTCTGTCACTTATCTCAAGCCTTTCGGATCATCGCTGTGGGAAAAGAAGCTGTTTCCATGGTACTCGATTCTCGGATGCTTTTTTCTGATGCATGTGATCTGCTATTATTATCGTTCTTATTTTCTGTATCGCTTTTTCAATTCCTATTCTGACTTGTCTCTTGAAATGAAACGAATGAGACGCATGAAAGGTGACGCTTTCCGTCCGCTCAAAGGGCTGGTACCAATATTTTGTAGTGAGATGTATGCAGCAGGTTATTTAGTGCTATCATTGTTGAGCCGATGCCTTTTCACCCAGAAACTTGGGAACGGTGAAACCAAAATGTCAGAATAAGCCATGTGACAGATGAACCCACGAATAGTTCACGCGGCGCCCGCAAGCGCTTGTTAGTACCCCAGCCCCTCAGACGCGAGGGGATTTGTCATAAGCTAGTATGTTTCAGTGGTGTATTCCGCGTCCGTCACGCATTTGTTGCCCATAGTATTTATTGTCTTCTCACATCCAAGGTGTCTATTAATTGAAGCCCATTATAAATTCCTGAAGGCATTGTTCACGTGTTGAAAGCCTCATGGAGATGTGCGGTCCTTGAAAATTGTTCAACCATGAAAATTTACAGGCCGCCAATTGTCAATTTACAAATTACAACAGGCACTTGAAAGCTGATGGAAATGGTGTACCATTGACATATCAGTTGATGGTTTAATGACCAGGGAGGGGCTCCTCCTTACAATCCATCTCATTCCTCATAGATTTCCTATCAGTAGGATTCATGATTGGCATTTATCAATTTCTAGAGCCCATTTTAAGACCTCTATCAACAGTAGTTTCTAATCAATCCACACCATTTTTTAATGTTTGAAAAAAGTGCTGATAATTTATAAACACCTTAAAATGGGCTCTAAAATTTGAACTTCAATCATGAGCCCCGCTCTTGTGTCATGTATGATGTAGACAGACGTTGTATGTATCTATTGAAATATGCACAACTGATCAATACTTGACTTTTCTATCTTCATCTGATAGCTGTGCATATCTACTGCAATGCTTCCTGGTGTTTCTTGAAGCGGGGCTCTTTGGGCTAAGAGAGGAAACAAGCCCCAGAGCAATGCTAAAGATAAAGGAACCTGAGGTTCCCTGGATTTTGGGAACAAGAGGACTGAGGAAAACTGAGGAGAACCCCTGCAAAGAGAGGTCAATTTATGTTGGCCTCGAAAACAAACAAACAGAATGAAACAGGAAGACAACCGCGTGGGCAAGAATCTGAACTAATATAGTACAGGTGTAGGCTGTAGCCCTGCTACATTCCAAAGGTTTCTGGGCGTTTTCAAGGCTTCAAGTTGACCCTCGCACATAGGTCTTAGAAGCATAGAGGCTTTTGCGCCAGACCAATCAACACCCACCCCACAGAGAGATTTCCCCAGCCTCTTAACAAACCCCTAGTCGCTCGCCCATCAAGCCGAATTCCTTGGAACTCTAAAAATTTTGCTAGTCCTTCTTCGTACCGATCAGTTTCTCATCATGCACTCCTTCATCCCATTAGTTTTTCTTGTCGCCATGATGGTTGTCAGGCTTGAAGCTAGCTCGTATGCCAAGTGCCTCAACGGGAAATTTCCTCAACCGGTCTGCAGGCGGCAGGCTACCGGTTCTACTCCGGAGTCACTTGGTTAGTTCACTTGTTGTTCTCTCCTCCTTCTTTTTCAATACAACAATGTATGGAGACAGTTGACTGAAGAACTAAAAATGGGTTATCTTTACTTACTGATTATGATTCACTTGTTCCAAGTCGGAATTACCGCTGTGTTTCAGGACTCTTTCACCTGCTCCGCAAATAAGAATGACGCCAAACCGTGGAAGTGTTGTGATGACACTACGTTTGCGGTGCGTGTGGTCACCATTAGATCTCACTTCTTTATTGCCAATCAGTCCTTATGTTCCAACGCTAATATGCTTTTCAAATTTCAGATTGGCACCGTTAGATACGATATCACGGAATCACTCAAATATTGTCAAACCGCCACCCCGGTCTGAGCTTTGATGGAAGGATTAGAGCGGATGAGGGTAAGAAATAAATCTATCATCTTTTCCATCCAACTCCTGTTTAACTTATGGAAATTGATATCTACACATTTGTCTCTCTAAAATCTCTCCCAAATTTGAAAATAGTGATATAGTTATGCCGAAAGGAATCAAGAAAAGTTTCTATTTGTTTTCTCCATCTTCTGCTCCTGTTAGCGTATCCCTTGATCTTGTGGCACATGCAGACAATATTGAGAGAAATCCTAAGACGCCCCCCCCTATCCATTTCCACTGGAACCTCAGCTTGAGCTACATGTGTGAGAAAAGCCGCTATTTCTCACAAATCCAAAAGACAGTCGTTGTCGTCGTCGAATCAGAGAACCTTGGTGAATGATAGCCGCGCGGTGTGTATTCTCAGTTAGCAAACAGCTTGATAGGATCATCAAATTGACATACGGTCTCAACACATCCCTGTCAAGGAACCTGATTATCTTGGTCTTATACTCCAAAATCTCTTTTAGCAGCATCATCTGGTACACCGAGAAGAACAAAAAATCGGTAGCACAGATACTGGATAGACTGTACCGCCAAGCATGCAGGCTCATCAAAGGGTTATTTTGTCAAACCCCCCTAGTCTTTGTTAGAAAAAGCAGAGCCAAGTTGTGATACCAGTCATGTAGCTTAGCCAAGATTACACAATCTTGTAGAATGCAAACAAAGTTACCTGACCTCATGACAACTGAGGATAAAAGTTGAGTCCATTTCTCAGGGTACTGTACAAAACTGATACAAGCTCTGGATCTTGAGGAAAAAAGTCCCGGAAGTGACTATCTTCCAACTCCAGGCTAACCATTCCCCTCTTATTTAACAATTTTCTTTTTAAAATCAAATCAATCCTAGACCCTAGATGTACAGTGGCTAGACAGTGAAAAATGGCTGATTAATTTGGATCCCACAGCTTCAAAACACAAGATTGAAGTCATGAGACTTAGTAATGTGGTGCATAATATGTTCCAAAAAATGAATACAAAAAAATAAAAACAAAAAACAAAGTATCAAAAGGGCCTTAATAAAAAAACCCGCATTTTCCGCGTTTTGACGCGGTTTCTGCTGCGCGCAGCACACGCGCATTCCGCTTTTAAACCCGCTTTTTCAATTAATTTTTTACCGCTTATTTTTTGAGTTTTTTTGAATTTTTAAAATTGTTTCCTAGGTTTCAAAGCGCATAGAATTTAATGGTAAAAACCATTTTCAATAAAAATATATTTTGATTATTAATTATTTTTTTTCACTCATTTCTCAATTAATTGTTTGCAAACATGTTTGTACCTTATTTTTTAGCCTTTTTTGAAATTTTAAAATTATTTCCTAGGTTTTAATGTGCGTAGAATTTAATGGTGCAATCCAATTTTTTTTAAACTCTACGGTTCATTTTTAATACTGAAATTAGCCCCATTTTTTGACTTAATTTTTTACAGCTTAATTCTCATCATTTTTTGACATTTTAAATTTATTTCCAACACTTTAAGACATTTAGAAAATGATGGTATCAAAATTTTTCCCCAAAACGAAAAATACATCTTGAATATTGCATTTGACACCGTTTTTTAATTGAATTATTCACTTTTTCACTCAATTGTTTGTGTTAGTTTTTTTACCTTATATTTTATGCTTTTTTGAAATTTTAAAGTTGTTTCCTACATTTAAACGTGTGTAAAATTTAATGGTAACATTCAATTCCCATAAAACTCAACGGTTCATTCTGGATACTGTAATTAGTCATATTTTTCAATTGATTTTTAAGAGCTTAATTTTCATTATTTTTTGACATTTTAAATTTGTTTACTACACTTTCAAACATTTATAAAATTATAGTAACAATGAATTTTCATCAAAATGAAAACTATATCTTGAATAATCCCTTTGATGTGTTTCCTGAATTAATTCTTACACGCTCAATTATCCTTATTTTTTGGAATTTCAAGCTCATTTCCTACACTTTTAAAGGTTTCAAAATTGTTGGCTGTATCCATTTTTCATTCAAATAAAATTTGTATACGTTACAAATTGTGCAAGAAACGGGGTACACTCATGTATTAAGATTGAAGCTTGTATTTTTAGGGAAATTGGACTTCACCATTCAATTTTACACATTTTTAAATGGAGGAAATGAATTTAAAATTTCAAAAAATGATTAAAAACCAGCCGGTAACAAGCAATTAACAAAACATTAAAAAAAACATGTCCAACGCAGTATTCAATAACATTCTTTGGTTTTTATGAAAAATGATAGTTACCATCATCTTAATCATGTCTAAAAGTGTGGGAAACAAATTTAAAATGTCAAAAAATAATGAAAATTAAGCTCTTGAAAATCAATTGAAAAATATGACTAATTACAGTATTCAGAATGAACCGTTGAGTTTTAAGAAAATTGGATGTTACCATTAAATTCTACACACTTTCAAATGTAGGAAGCAACTTTAAAACTTCAAAAAAGCATAAAAAATAAGGTACACACATGTATGCAAACAATTAAGTGAAAAAGTGATGAATTAATTAAAAAAACGGTGTCAAATGCAGCATTCAGGGTATAGTTTTCAATTTGGGGAAAAATGGTTGTTACCATAATTTTTTAAATGTCTTAAAGTGTAGGAAGAAAATTTGAAACATCAAAAAATAATGAAAATTAAGCTGTAAAAAATTAAGTCAAAAAATGGGGCTAATTTCAGTATTAAAAATGAACCGTAGAGTTTTAAAAAAATTGGATTGCACCATTAAATTCTACGCACATTAAAACCTAGGAAATAATTTTAAAATTTCAAAAAGGCTAAAAAATAAGGTACAAACATGTTTGCAAACAATTAATTGAGAAATGAGTGAAAAAAAAATAATTAATAATCAAAATTCATTTTATTGAAATGTTTTACCATTAATTCTATGCGCTTGAAACCTAGGAAACATTTAAAATTCAAAAAAC